ATTTTCGAGCTTCTTCAGTATTTCCAAACCTTCGTCCATAAATCCAGATTCTTTTTGAGGTTTATGTTTGAAATTCAAATAAGCATTTTTCTTGCACTTACTGCATTTTTTGACAAAAACTTCGAAAATTGGCAAAGAATAATTTTTAAAATGGAAATCGTTCCTTGTTTCTGAAAATCAGTGCGCTTCCTTAAGCTTGGCTTCACCTGCTTTTTATCAAATTCGGACTAAATTTTCCGGTTCTGAAAAGGATGTATTGTAAACTTGTCTTCCTTATCTTGGGGTTTTTCCATAGTTTAACGTATGCAAATAATGTTTTGGCTCTGTCGCACTTAATAGCATAGGAAATCTCCTCGATATAAGTCTGCTTCCGATTTGTCAAAACTAATGTATAATGCCCTCAATATAATGGACTAAGGAGGCAGTTTTCCTTACTAAAAGGCTTTCTGATGATTAAATCCATTCATTATATAAAAATAAGGTGACCTAATGTATGCTCACCTATCAGGTCTAATTGTTTAAAGCCTTTTGCATGATTTCCTTGCCGTACTCTACACACATATATATGTTGCCTTTTACAGTTAACACATTGTTGAAGGTTTGACTGGCTGCTACATCGATATGCTGAAGTGCCGTATAAATATGCCATTGCAATATCGGATTCTAGAGCATCCACAAACTCTACCGTGCCTGGAAAAATGCCTAAATTGCCGAATTTCTATATAAGTATATCCAAGTACTGGATTCTTACCTTTGGCACTTAAGACTTCCTCCTCGTGTGTTCTCTGAATGTAATGGAATGAATGGGTGCAGTATCCAGATTCATCGTGGTAATGACGTTTATAACAGATATATGTTAAAAAACCAGATAATTTTTTTGGAAAAAATAACGGTTATTGCGTAAATTTTCGGGACAACTCGTCGTCAGTCAACTGAGATTTAAAAAACAGTTCACTTTGAACGATTCCTAATGCAGGGTTCTGCGCTTAGTCGGAGTGTAAGCCAATCGGTGTCCCATACATTTAATTATCCGATTGGTAGTGGTTGTTTTCGCTTCCCTCTGGTCTCGAGAAATTTGTAATTGGCATCAAACTCAATTTGCCTATTGTATATCTTGTCTTATGAACGTATTACAACGGTGGACGTAGAATCTGCATCTACTCATAATATTACGTACAGAGAACATTCGAGGATAAAGTATTAGACTCCAAAGCTAATAATCCAGCACTTCAGTATACTAATATAAGACGCAGGCAGTTTTAAAAATCATCAAGGTTTGGGAAGCTTTAATGATGCGTTGGAATTCGATACTGCAACGGAAATACAATGCCTTGAAAATTATAGGAATGTTGTTTTTGACTTTTTAATGCAGGCGCGAGAGTAGTCACAAATTCCTATTTTTGATTAAAAAACGATTTTTTTTGAAAAATATTACTCCATTGCACCACGTTTGATGATAATAAGGAAAGGTTGAATTTGGCAAAGAAATTCGTGTCTCAAAAACCCTTTTTATTCAAAGTTAAATCACGGACTTATTAACTAGCTATTTAAAACACTAACACTCTTCATTAAAAAAGAATCCTAACATTTGGGTCCTTCTTGATATAATACTAAAGTTTGATGGATTAAGTATCAAACGCTTCCTGGCTAACTATTCTGCTGAATTAAAACAGCTACGAATTTTTAGGTATAGCTATTAATCTAACTGAAAAAATTATCATGTCGGTTATCCTATCTCCACACTGAAGTTAAGGGAAACCCTCAATGCTCTAAAGACTTCGTGCATAATAAGCATTTTTTTCTCGAAAATGTATGGAGTAAAAACTGAATAACTCACTAAAATTAAACATCCTCCAACAGGCATTTTTGCACCAAAAACAACTGCGTGTTCAGATTTAGTCAAATAATGTCTTTTTAAATTGCCAATACAAGCGAAGAATTGTCCATCTAGGCACAAGATACTGATTAACTCTGTCTATCCGTTAGCAAACTAAGCTGCTTTCACTACATTGATTATTCTAACTACGGTTTAGACAACTCATCCAACCATCTGTTTCGATCTACATTAATGTGGTTTTTTTACAAGACGGGAAAAGTAGTTTCACTGACCAAGTATTCACGGATGGACTCTATCATAGCATGTAATTACGCTATTAAAAATCCACATCACTTTTGAGGTCGACAGGGAAGCTCAAAAGTGTTGTAGCTACTCATAGACCTGGATTCACGCTAGGAAAAGGCATCTGAAACAGTGGCTTAAAAACCAAGACCAAGTAACGAAACTGCGACCTAGAAAGTGAAACGCCGAATTTGAAGATGTTTTTGAGTTGGTTTTCTTAATGCGGTATTCTTTTCGTTATTGAACACAAAAGCAGCCTCTGTTTTCATCCCTCCTCACAAGTTCATGAACGCAATTATTGGTTTTCGTATATACTTTCTTGAAGTTTATCATGGAAAATCCTCCCCTTATTCTTTTCAGTGGCCTCATTTTACTGATATAGGACTAGGTAAACGTTTTCATCACAATGCTGTACAATTTGAAAGGAAAGCAATCTTTGAGCGCTTCAAATGTGAATGCAGCATCGCGGTACTTTTAGTCTATTCCTCCTTATCGGTTTGGATAAAAAATGTGTTTATTTCTTTACCTGCGCGGCCAAGAGCTCTAGTAAGGAGAAAAGTTTAATAAAAACTCGTGCTCATGTATTCTTCGCTTGAAGATTTTTGATTAGTCGCTTACTGATACCAAACGCTAGAAGAACAGACCTAGCTC